ATCCAGGTGGATCCCCAAGCTTTTTCGGTGGGAGAAGAAGTTCCACGTCCTCCCTGTCAAACAAGAATCCACCACTCCACTCCATCCCAAACGGGCCAAAAAGGAGGCCGCAACGAAGCGGCCCAGCTCAGCGCACTCCGCGTCGTCGCGCGACCGCCCGGCAGCTGCGGTCGCTTCGGCCACGGTGCGCTCTGGAGCATCTTGGCGAAGACCGGAGAGGCAGAAGCCAAAGCCACCCGATGCGCAGGGAAGCCTGGGTCGGGGAGAGGAGGATGCGGAGGGTGTTGGGAGCTCCTGGAGTGGGATACGGAGAGCGTGTTAGTTTCTGTAGGCGACGCAGGAGGAGTGAGTGCGACTGCTAGTGCTATAGGAGTAAGTAGCACGTAGGACTGTAGCGGGACTTGTGAGCGCTTGTGCAGGACTTGTAGCGTGTAGCTGTTTGTTTTGTAAAAAGAGGTCAGCAAGGTGGTCTCAGCATGTGGGCTTTGTCTGAGAGGGAACTCGCTTCAAATCCCGGGGGTTGTCAAGAGTTCTGATGCCAAGAGTTCTGACAAAGGGTATGCAGGTAGGTACCGTCAGCACCCCAAAAGACAATGGAAGCAGAAGACTAAAGGCAAAAAAAAAGAGCGTTCGTCAAACCCTTGGGTTCTAGCTTACAAAATGGGTGTGTGTTGAAGTAGGAAAACGCCCCAACCAAACCTCTGGTAAAAGCAAACATCGGCTAAACCCCATGGTTGAAGACTTTCCTAGGCTTTCGATGGCTTTTGCACGTTCCGATGAAGCTATTCACAGGAGGACAAGGGCCGAAAGCCTTCTCGGCTCGAGACAAGACCAGAAAGTCTCGGTCCTATGCTCACCCTGCTGAGCCAGGTGAAAAAGGCCGTTCTTGAACAGAACACTAACAGAATATCTCAAATCATCTGCAATCCACTTCTGAGTCCGACGGAATCACCATGTGGCTAGGCTGCGCGCACCTTCCATGTACGGCTATAACAGCATGTCCTGCCTGCTGAACTGAGAATTCCGGCTTCCTATTTTAACCAGTCTCTTTGTCACAGTGTCTGTCATTCGCTTCCGAGCAAGCAGCGCTACTTCCAAGAACCGCCACCATTCGGCATTCGGACATGACATGTGCAAAGCAGCTTTGCAACTTTCATGTCCTTTCGGGAGGCAGCTAGGTCCTGGGTGCTTTGCTTGGAAGCCAGGAAACACAGACGTCTGACGAACCAACGCAAGACGCAAAAACTGCAGTCTTGTTGCAAAAATGGATTGAAATAAAACTGCTTCACATGTGCTGGAGTGAACGTCCTCTTCCTCGTTTCAACAAGCTCTTGCACCTGGTTGCTAGCAAAAATCTGGTCAGCAACAAAGTATATATATTCATGTGGAGAACACAAAATGCTAAATGCCATGTTGTTTGTTTCGCACGCTGACTCCAGCTTTCTTTGGCAGCTCGAGCTGACGAAGTTGGGGGTCGTGGCACTTCGCCATGCCGAGGCGATGCGAATGCGTCATGGTTCATGCAAATGATCCGTGACACATTTGGTTGTTGGTGTCCAAAGCCTAAACCATGTTGGCGAGTTGAAGCGCAGAAGTGGCGAGTTGAATACCTGCTGCCACGCAGAAGGTGCCCCACAAATGGGGTGCCATCCACCTTCACCCTTCTGATTTTCGGGATCGTTAAAAACCAGAATGAACATCTCCGGCTCAGCCCTTGGCAAGCGCGTCCAAGTAACTATACACTCCTTGAAATCACCGTGGGAACGGAGTTGGGACTTCCTCTGAGCATTTCTAGTCGCCTGTGGCACCGGCCAGAGCAGAAAACCTTCCATCTTCAATCCGCTTGCTGAAGAATGTAGTGACTTGCATCATGGTATGTAGTATGCCTGGCGGAACAGACCCTTGCATGGTTTGTGTCAAGTTAAGTTAGTGACCTCTAGTTCCGCGCTGGGTTTTCCGCTTACCTAGTGCGTTGTTGTCCCTTCTCACAGGCCCCAATAAGTGCATTGAAACTGATTGACGTCAGCTGCAGCTTTGCTTCCAGCGCGCTCTCAAACAAGCTTAAGGCGTGCTGCCACTGCCCATCCTTCTCACAAGAACTGATCACAGCGTTGAAGCTCACAATATCTGGCTCGATCCCAGCATCAGGCATGGCGCTCAACAGATTCAGCGCAAGCTCCCAACGGCCAGCCTTTTCACAAGAGCTCATGGCAGCGTTAAAGCTGATGAGGTTCGCTTGAATCTTCACCATCGGCATTGCTTCAAACAAGCTCAAAGCCCATGGACATTGGTTGGCTTTTTCGCAGGCACTGATCGCCGCACTGAAGCTGATCACATCTAGGGGTATCCTGGCCTTGGGCATCTCGTCGATCAAGTCCAAGGCTCCCTGCCAGTGTGCGCCCTTCTCGCAAGAACTGATCGCTGCATTGCAACTCACCACATCCATCTGCACACCATCCTTCACCATAGTCTCAAAGATGCTCAAGGCATGCTGCCATCGTCCGCTCTTCGCGCAGGAGCTGATGACTGCGCCAAAGGTGAAAGCATTGGGCTGAACCTCTTCCAGCAGCATGGTCTCAAATAGACTCAATGCTCGCTGCCATTCGTTGCCCTTCTCAAGAGAACTGATGGCCGCGCTGAAGCTTACAACATCAGGCGCAATCTTTGTCTTGCACATGTCCTCCATCAGGATCAAGGCTCCCTGCCAGTAGAAGCCCTTCTCACAGGAACTGATGGCTGCATTGTAGGTCACCAGGTCTACCTGCACATGTGCCTTGGGCATCATCTGAAGTATCTTCATGGCCCTAGGCCACTGCCCCACCCTCTCATAGCAACTGACCACAGCACCAAAGGTCACAGCGTTCGCCCGCAATGTCGCAGCCCTCATTCCCCCCAGCAACTCCACGCACACTGGCCATGGGCGGCCCTTTTGGGAATCGATGAGAACAGTGTAGCTAATGACATTGGCCTCAATCGTTGACTCTTGCATGGCCCCACACAGGCTCAATGCCTGGGGCCATGCACCAGTCGACGATTTCATGGCTGAGGCCGTTGCGGTGTAGCTCACCACATCGCGCTGGATCTTGGCTTTCCTCATCTGGGGAAATCCAATCATACACACACAAGGTACGGGAAAAGAAACACTAAGTGAACTTGTGTTCCCATCTTCAGTGATATAATGTTGTCGAAGAGACATATACTTTTATACATATATATATATAGATGAATGCTGATTACTGTTCCTTGCTTTCTGTGTAAGTGCATACTTCTTCACTACCTACCTAAACGCAAACATGCAAACACAAAGAGCTTCAAGTGTCTCTACAAAGGTTCTTCAAAGTGAACGAATGGAGGGGGATCGATTGAGGATATTTGATGTCCCAAACACTTAGGGCAACCTCCGAGGTCACTTTGAAGAACAAGAAGAACATGGAACAACACGGCCAGGTGTGAATTTCTCCACTGACTCCAGCAATTTCACTGCTACCACCCAGTTGGAGGCGCATTTGGTTGATGCGCTGATGGCTGCATTGAAGCTGATGACGTTCGGTTGCGCTTGGGCCTCCTTTGTGGTGTGCAGCAAGCTCAAAGAGATCTCCCACATCTAAAGACTTCCTGGGATGTGCAGATCTTCTTGTTACTACTAGTAAGGCACCTGTTACTACTAGCGTGGCACTTGTTACTACTAGCTTCTTTGTTCCTACTAGTAAGGCACCTGTTACTATGTGCAGATCTCCGCACTCATAGCTTTGGAGATTTAGGCGACAGCTGGGAACCAGGAATTCGAGCGACGGCAAGGTGTTCGAATGAAGGACTCACAAAAAAGCAAACAGATTTGACACAAGTTACTGGTTTTCTGCGTCTACAGGAAACACTGCTTTTGTGACAGTATCTACTGGTCACAGGAAAGAAATTGCACTTTACCAGGTTTCCCACTCAGCAAACGGTCGAAATCAGGTGACCAGCTGCTTTCGGTCTTGGTGTGGAACAGATGACCAGCCATGGAGCTCCAAGCAAGATCTACAAAACAGCTGGCAAAGACAAACAAACCAACACAGATTCAGTGTGCTGAAATCGTGGTCACTTACCAGATCAGCCAGATTGGCTGGTGTCTTTTAGTCAGGTGTGGCATCAGGTACCTACGCAGGTTTGAATCTCTTGACTTGCAGTTTGAACCTCAATGGCTCACCAAGCTCTTGATGGACCAGTTCACTACCTCCTCACTAACCCCACAGAGACAAAGCAAACTGCTTTTCGACTTGGTGAACGGTTACCGACCCATGTCAGCAAATCGCTCTTTGGTCTCCAAACAGTTCTCCAAATCACAGGGTGTTGAAACACCTCCGGAGGAAACCTCGCCCGCGCCAAGGTTGGATCCTGACTGTCACGCCTTTTGGAAGCCCAAAATTGGTCGGTTTCACCACCCATATAGGATTCCCTCGCTTGGCTTCTTGTTGGCTTCTTCGTGAGACGAATGCCAGGCAGCTTTGATTGCCACATTTGATCTCCACGTCCTCAGTTGACCATCGAAACCTTGCTGTCGAAAAGAGTAAAGTGTGTTAATCTAAGCAGCCCGCAGTCGAATTGCAGTACAGTAGCATTTACAGTAGAATCTCTGAGAAACCGTGATGTTTCAACCGTATGCGCACTGAGTGTTCAAAGCGTTGTCCAGTTTCCACACTCTCCACCCACGAACTCAGAGCCCTTCTCCTCGCGACAGACCCCACCACCACCGAGGCACTGCGAAGGTGGTGTCCTGATGCATCACCGAGGCCCAGCGTCGCAAGTGTTGGTCCCGGTACACCGACTCCACCTCCGCTTCTCCGTGCGAAACGGGCTCGGAAGGGGGGCTGGGCTTGAGTCTGGCGAGTCCGGCGACTCGGAAGGGAGGGGAAGCTGGGCGATGTCCGGTGAGGTGGGGATGAAAAGGTGGACGAATGGCACCTGGTCGACCCGATGGAAGAGGTTCGGTTATTTGCCGCCAGGACGAAGGGAGGAGGGAGGAGGGGCGGAGGGTCCTTCCGCTCGAATTCGACCGATGTCCTGCGAACGGTGACGGCATTCTGGGGCAGAATTGCTGGAGCGGAAGACCAGCGACCCGTCTGTTTGGTGTGACTGTTCAGAACCTGTGAGGTGATGCTAGGGGGGTTCTGTTTATTCCGGGGGGGTGTTGCTCTTGGCCATACTGAGGGCAGTCTCCCAACACAGCTGATCTTGGATTTCACTCTTCCTTCAACAACGCTCCTTCTCCCTCAACTCGCACCGCCCCTCTTCTCTGTCACTGCGCACCGCCCCAAGTCGTCCCCAACGTCCTGGCCGTCCTCGCCGCACCGTCTCGACCGAGAGCACCGAGAGCACCGAGAAGCACCGAGAGCACCGAGAGCACCGAGAGCACCGAGACGGTCGGCCTCGCAGCGATATTCCACGATGCCGTTCCAGCTTCGGCAGGGGCAGCCCGAGTAGTCCCTGTCCTTAGAAAGCCACGCAGTCGACTGCCAGGACCCGCAGGTCGAGTGGACATGCAGGTCGGTTGAGTCGAGTCGACCACAGAGGAGACTCACTTGGACATTGTGAGTTTGCACCACCTGGGTGATCATGGATTTGCGGGGTTTGGGTAGGTGATCCCAGGATTTCGGCCATATTCTGAGCGCTCTGGGTGTTGTTGATGCTTCCTGTTGGAGGTCATTGTCTACAGATTTTCTCCTACATTTGTCGGTGAAAATTCATGAATGAGAATGAATGAAACATCATTGAAACAAATCCATTCTACAAGTAGTCTGCAAGTTGGACATCATCAACATGTTCATCTACACGTAAATATCTTGGGCGCACGCCGGACCTACTCCCGTCTCTGCCCCAGTGTCCAAGGGGATCTTGTCACAGTCGGCGGTGCCCCAGCCATTGTAGATCATCAGGTTGTCATCCTGGCCGGTGGTGTGGGTTCCACTCTGGCCAGGAGCTCTTGAGCACATCTATCAGGATCAGGAGTCATGAAATCGATGATTCAGGGGGTTGCTAGAGTTGCTAGAATGGTGTCATCACTGGATTCGTGCATCTGTTCGCAGTGTGGATTGCAATGGGCTGGACTGAAAAACGTAAAGAAAAACGAATTGCAGTGATTAATGGTTATCATTGTTTGGTTCGATGTCTTTTACGCGGGGAGTGTCTCATCGATTAGGCAACTGAGTCACTTGCAGTGAGAAAGGTCCGCAGCTCTGTACTTGAAAAAGTGGGCAGGCGTTGTTTAAATATATTTGCAGAGTGATAGCTACAATATGTCCATCAACAGGTTCGATTTGCGCAGTGAATTGTTTATTGTATATCACATAGACTTTGCGCCTTAGATGATGTTATGTGTTAATTCCTAGTTGAACTACTATGCTTGAATACGATGTATATATGTGTAAAAGAACTTGTTAACTGCAAAATACCGTTGTTTTGTTAATCATATATATATTGTCTTTGTACTCTTCATTTTCTCAGGTGGGGCTCCGGGGGCCTTCCTTCAACAGTCAATGGGTTTTCTTTCGGATCGATGGTGATTGGCAGTGAAGACGTGTTGATGCGCACGCACTGTGCTAAAGGCTGCGCTCCCGATATCCGAGCGGTTCGTGTCCTTTAAACTGGGTCATTGTACACCAGGTTGGTCTATTTTGTTTAATCCGTCAAAAGAAAACAAAACATATTTCCTTGTAATGTGTGATTCGATAATTCGATCCTCTGACTATTTGGTCCAAGCACTCTAACCACTGAGCTATAGATTCCTTGCCCTTGCCTGGGCCAGATAGACTTGCTATATGTATGTACATTATACATGACTCGTTACATGACATATCTTGTTTCGGTTGCTAAAGATCTTATATAAACATAAGAACATACATACGTACGTACATCAGTAATATATAGTGTGTGATTTACGTGTGTATGTAATACTGTATAATCCGCCGACCCCGGCCTATAGCCAAAGCCTAGGCGGGGAGGCGCCTGGGACACCGCAGGGCGAAGCAGTTGGCCAAGCCTAGCAGAACCCTTCAAGCACTTCCAAAACCGCAGGATGCAGCAGTTGGCCAAGCCTAGCAGAACCCTTCCAAGCACTTCCAAAGCAAAGGCCTGTCCGAGGCCTCACCAGCTGGCCGGCCTGTTGCGGCCTCTCTGTGGCCTGTCCGAAGCCTGCCTCCTCTCTTCTTATCGGCTTCCCAAAGCGACGTTTAGGCATTTTGGACCGCCTTCAAAAGCTTTTCGGCCTCTTGCGGCCTCTCTGTGGCCTGTCCGAAGCTTCTCGGCAGCCGGCAGGCCTCTTGCGGCCTCTCTGTGGCCTGTCCGA